CGTCAGACAAGTTCAGACGCGAAGGTCGAACCCCGCGTCAGACAAGTTCAGACGCGAAGGTCGGACCCCGCGTCAAACAATCACAGACGCGAAGGTCGAACCCCGCGTCAGACAATCTCAGACGCGAAGGTTGAGCCTCGCGTCAGATAGTTCAGACGCGTGGGTCGACCCTCGCGTCAAAAATCTGAGACGTGGAGGTTAAACCCCTCGTCAAGAAGATTAAACGACGGGGTCCAGCCCCGCGTTATGGGAACGAGTTTCCTCGTTAATTTCAAGATCAGAACTTGCCGGAGCAAGTTTAATGACCACGAAGGTCGTACTCACCGCCGATTAAGGGGAGTTGGGCTGTCACATTCGCCTGAGCGGCGGCGCCGCCGGTCGGAGCCACGACGGCATCAGGCTTGGAAGCGACGTCGGACTTGGAGGACTTCTTGGATGCCATGGAATCTCGTCGGAGAAGATGAGCAGTTGCCAATGGAGAAGAAAACGAAATTTTTTTCGTTAAATTTTCAAGAAGAGTCGAATGACTCTTGATTTGACCCCTAGCGGTCTATTTATAGACAGCTATGAGCTGTCAAATCCTAACGGACGGGATTCGAGGCCATCAGCCCGCCCAAGCTCGACCCTCGCGTTCGAGTTGATTCAGCTTCCAAACGCGATGCTCACCTGCGCGTTCAAATTTCTCAACGCTGGGCTCACCCACGCGTTCCAATCCTCAAAGGCAGAAAAGAGATCTCTGTGTTTGGACCATTATGACAGTAATTTCTTGGTTACCAAGGCGACCAAAGCCAGGAAGAAACAAACGACTCCACTGGGGAGTCTGTTGGAGGAGTACAGATAGATTACAGTCAACAACGGCGAAATCATCTGACTCGATCAGGCGGGAAGAGCAATCAATCCACCAAATTCTGGGATCCAAAGTATTCCGAAAATTCGTCCCAGTCAACCGCGAACTTTCGAAAACTTTGGAGGGGGTTCTGTAGGCTGTCTAAAAATCACAATAGATAGCTTATTCAAACAAGCTCCGACAACGGAGGTCACAATCAGACGACTTCCCAATCACTGCATCCGCAACTCCACAATCGCCACAAACGCGACCTCACTTCTGAGATGATTGATCTTGATGGCTGTGACAACAGCATGGCTAATATCATAGCAACTATTAGAGATGCTGATGAGCAGTGGGACGATTTCAGAAATAAAAAGTTGGACTCAGTTGGTGAGTTGCTTGATAGAGAGCTATGGGCGAATATTCATCTTTAAGACACTATGGATGTTGATTCCCGTCTAGCTCCTACAACGAAAGCTACAATCAAATAGCTTTCGGGTCGATGATCGAAACATATAGTCGAATAGTTGCTTGGTAGAGAGCTATGGGCGAATATTCATCTTTAAGACACTATGGATGTTGATTCCCGTCTAGCTCCTACAACGAAAGCTACAATCAAATAGCTTTCGGGTCGGTGATCGAAAGCGGCAAATAGAGGACTTTTCACATAGATCGAGAAAGGTTACAATTCAACGACACTTCCGACAACTGATGAAAACTCTATGCAGCAGTCTTCACAATCTACAGTGAAAGTTACAATCTGACGGCTTTCACACCCCACAACAGCTAAAGCTAGGATTATTGAACAACGGTCCTTGCAACGCTCTACAGAAGAAGTTACAAATCAGCTAACTCCTTCTGAAACGCGGGTGTCATCCCCGCGTCATAACTTTGGAAATGAAGGCGACCCTCGCGTCGTCAATGCACAAGCCAAACGTGAGCGACCCTCGCGTTCAATGGTGTTCAACCAACAGCGACCCTCGCGTCGACAATGCACAAGCCAAACGCGAGCGACCCTCGCGTTCAATGGTGTTCAGCTAACACCCAACTTCGCGTCTCAATTCAAAGAACACGAAGTTGAGTTCTAAACGCCAGAATGGGCGTTTGACTTATTCAAACATAAGTCGAACGGTTCCAAAACCGTTTATCCCACGTTCTGAGGGGATTTTCACCCACGTAGGAGCAGATATAGGGGTCAGTTACAACCTCTTATCCCCCTATAAAAGCTCAATGAACCCAACAGAGCAACGGGTTGGATTTTTGGCATCTGAACCACACAGGTTGGATTCAAAAGATCTAAACCATACAGGTTGGAGATTTTCAGTTCTCAAACAAACTCGACAGAGTTAAAGGATCGGATTTTTGATAATCAGATCAGAGGTTGGATTCTTTATCATCAAAATCACTCGGGTTTGGAGATTCGGCAACGACAGCAACGAAATCCTTGGAGATAGGATTTTTGAATCAACCTCAGAAGATCAAATCTGAGAGGATTCTTCGACAACAGAAAAACAGCTTGATCTTTAACCGAATTTTCGGTTCCAACAACTCTATTCACAGAGTTCAAACTCGTTCAGAGTTCTTAAACTCATTCAGAGTTATTCATAAAACTTTCCACGAAAGTTCATCGTTCCCACGAGATAAAGACGGTCGGATCGTCAACGGAGAGCAAGTTCGACGCAATCAATCGAAGGAAGCACTCCATCGCTGCCAAGAAGAACCCAGTTTTAAACAAAGGGGAAAACCAAATTCGTTTTCCTCTCTTTTGTAATCAAGTTGTAACCGAGATCAAAGGAAGTAGTATGCTATTTTGGTCAGATTTATCTGGTATTTTAATATAGATAAAGTCCTTAGAATAATACTAGACTATCAGACATTTCGGATATGATCGTAATGAACAGATCTGATTTGTCGCTAACGTATATTCTAAAATGTTTCTAGTCGATGAAGTGTTGAAATGAGACATCATCACTTTGAGAAGATTAGTGTATACTCTATTTCTCCTTTGGAAGGATGATGATCCATCTCTTAGATCATTGATGTAAGACATCAAGATACAGTATACAGGTGACTCATTAGTGAATGAGTTGACTGAACGACTCACTGAGAACATCTAGTTGGTAATTATACTTAACTGTCAAACAGAAGTTCTCAAGTGATATAGTACATAGTTGGTAATTATACTTAACTGTCAAACAGAAGTTCTCAAGTGATATAGTACAAAGTAGTCTCATGACCCGAGGCATGAGTGCAATATCTTACATGTCAGTATAGGTGTATTTAGACTTTTACCTTCTCATCGAGTTGTGCATAACAGTTCTTGTTGGGTGCATCCCGAGGCGTAAGTAGATATTGAGATACCAAGATGAGATTCTTCTCTCCCAGTATAGGGGTTGATGTCATAAGATTGTTTGATATAACTATAACCTGAAAATCCTTGGCCGAGGTAAATAAGATAAACTGAGTGTCAGTTTGATCTTATAGGTTATGAGTTTAATATCAACAAACACTAATTGAGCAATTAGGGTTTGACAGTTTTCCATACCCTAGTCTCAATAGTTTGACATGGTTTGATGAAGAGACCGGTCTGTAGGGTATTATCACTGAGTGGTCCTGATAAAATTGTGTAAGCATCTTGCAGACATTTATCATAACTTATACCCGGGTAGTCTTTATGTGTAGCTAGCACCTCTATTGTACTTGTGGATATCATCCACTACCGAGTTCTTAAGTTGGGCCCTAGAGTCACACCAAACGCGTACTTAAATCATATGATTGATACGCATATATGATTTTTATCGAATACACATAAACGGTTATATGTATCGGTAAAATCAGAATGCTATGTGCTTAAGAAATGAATTCCAGTATTTTCCCCATAAAGTTAACTTTTAGTAAACTGGTTGACTTTTTAGTCAATGAGTTGACTTTTGGCCAACTCATTGACTTTTTGGTCATATGATGACTTATTAGTTAATGATTGAAAAATTATGAAATATCGTATTGATGTGGTATTTTCATTTATGAAATACACACTTTATTATACATTGATTAATGAGTCATGAGATGAGTCATTAAGGTGATATGGTTTGGGAACATGATTTTAGCACATAGTTTTGATTCTTCATGATTCATTGCATGACTCATGAGATGAGTCATTGCATGACTCATGAGAGAATCATTGTTTTGATGACTCATGGTGTGACTCATAGGATGAGTCATTCATGTCATGACATATTCTTCCTCTATAAATATGAGCTCTCTTTCTTCTTTCATGGTTAATGGAAAAATAAAATAAATGGTTTATTCATAGTTGCTTTCCATAAGAGAATAAAGAAGAGAGATCTACCTCTTAAAGTAAGAGGAAGTAGTAGGATTTTAAAGTACCCCGGGGTGGATATCTTGCATTGTGTCTCAAGAAGACTCCGATTTGATCAAGTTCACTTGAAGACTTGGAGATCCACTACAAGGAGGTTTACAACAACAATGAGCAAGAGCTAGGGACGTTGTTCGACCTTCCACCGAATCATGCTTTGAAAGTATGACTTTCTAATTCTTGTATGCTCTCTTTAATATAGGTATCATGTTAGATTTAATTAGGATGGTCCTAGCTTGTTTTTCATGCTCTCTACATACTTAGTATTATTATACATGCTTAGTATTATTATACATACAGTCTTTCGTTGCGTATTTTGCATGTATTTAGCACGAATTTTCAACAACAGGTTCTCATGAAGTCACACATGATAAACAAGAAATGGGCATACTTGAGGGTTATTTGTATTATTACATATAATAGTTTACACATAATGAGAACAATTCTCGGTTTAGCGACAACTGCATTTTTTTAGAGCAAGGTAATCCCGAGTCTGGTAAAAAAGCCATAAATGTGCCTCTTTGGTAATAAAAAAAGATAAAGCTTATGAATGTTTATAGCTACATTAGTGGATAACAGGCATTTCAAAGAGACAATATTCTCAGGTTACTTAGAGCAAGTCCATCAAGCTCTCACCGCACCTCCTAACGCTGAGGTGGCGGTGGGAGCATGCTGGACTTGCTTCAGCAAGCTCCCAAGGGAGCTCTGAGAGCTTCTGTGGCACAAAGCCTAGGGCTTTGTGCCACAGAGCTCCCAAGCGCTCAACAAATTTGTGGAGCGCTTGGGAGCTCCCAAGCCTTAAAGAACTATTTTTTTTACGAAAAGTCCTTGGCCTTTGTATCTTTGCAATAGAAGTGAGGTTTTTTTGATAGAAGAGGGGTTTTTTTTTTGATATTATTGGAGCTCCTAACTAGGAGCTTGTTGGAGCTTCATAAAATAAGGAGGTGCTCACAAGGCTTATTTTTATAATTTTTTATTTCAAAATGCTTGAGAGCTCTTAAGAGCTTGCTGACCAGGACTCCGAACTGGAAGCTTGATGCACTTGCTCTTACTCAGGATCTTGGAAGACGCAAATATCAGATTTTTGAGATGGCCCTGCATCTTCAATCCTTCGGAGCAGATTATAAATACCCCAAATTTGCTACCTTAGAGAGAAATTTTCATCGATAGTACATTCTTTGTTTTGGAGTTGATGTGTACAATTGGCGGTATTTGTCCATGTAAATGACACAAACCTACAAGCATCAGCATGGCAAAAAGAAAAAAAAGAAAAAAAAGAAAAGAAGAAGAAAAACATCATCAAGTAACAAAAGTATTGAAAGATATCATTGATAGATCCACATGATTATTATCAAATCATCTGAGACAAAAAAAGATTATGCAATTTTTTAAATGTAACTGCTGTAGAGAGAAATCATACCTTTAGTTGCACCTAGAGCTATAGAAAGCCCTTGTTTATATTCAAGCCTAGTCATTGCTTCTCCCCCAGTATCTGTTACAAGAAAAATGCCTCACGGACCCGAAAATAGGACAGATAGAGGGGGACAGGTGAGGTGTCTCCCTCTGAATGCATAATGAGCTGGCCATAGCTAGCTCATTATGCAATTAAGGGGGGACACCTCACCTGTCCCCCCTATCTGTCTCATTTTTATGGCCAGCTCATTATACAATTAAGGGGGACACCTCACCTATCCCCCCTCTATCTGTCTCATTTTCGGGTCCCTGTAGAAGCACCCCTGTTACAATGACTTACTATCATCTTCCTTTCTTTTATGAAAATATTGAAATATAATCAAGCCTTACCATATAGATGATTACTTATGCTTATATCTGGGAGATATTCAAAAGCTAGCATTTGTAGACCAGCTTCTTGGCAGTAACCAATTAGAGAAACAATGAACCTGCTTTGACTGGAAAAAAAATTCAACTCTTTTTCACTAGTTTTTTAGCAAGATAATTGAAGTAATATGGAAACAAAATTTTTCCAAGTTTCACTGTTTCTGTCTTTTCACTTTCACCCTTGTTGACTTATTGAACTGTTGTAATTGGACTTTTAAATTCCCTTTACTTATTAGTAGCTTTCTTTGAATAGCATCGTAGAATTTGATGAATAATTTTCTGTTTGATGATTTTACTTAGCAAACAAGTTCAATAACTTGTGAACAAGGTTACTCTATATTCCAAAATCCATTTTTACCTCTTTGATGAACTCTTTTTTTGGAGGTCCCTGGTGTGTCTTAATTGCTACAACAATGACATCACAAAGCAAACCCTTATACACTGAGCCAAAACTTCCCTTGCCTATGATATTGTGTTCATCAAAACTGTTGGTTGTTTGTTCCAACTCTTTTAACATAAAATGTCTTGCTCTCTGCGGTTCAGTTGGGCTACCACAAGCATCCTTACTCACTTCAACTGGCGATGTCAAAAATAGCAGCAGAAACAATTTCCAATTTTAATTATATATATAGGATGCATAATTATCTTAAGCAATACTGTGAAGTATCGTACCTTGTGCTGATGGATCAGATGGATTACTCTCGGAATTTTTATTTGCAATGTTCTTACAGTAGAACATGTAAACCCACACAACTCCAGCAGCTAATATTACCAATCCGAGAAAACCTGCAATGCCTTCAATTATTACTGGAAGTGATATTGATATCAGCATTTCTCGGGGGCTTCAAGCCTTCAATTGGTCTAAAATAAAATAAAATAAAAATCTATACATGGAATCTGAAATGAGGAAAATGAAATAATCAAAACCCAATAATGTGAAACCAAATAAAATGTATCAGGTTTCCAAAAGATGCAATAATCATAACCAACTTAAATTTATTCCTATACCAAAAATAATATCAAGACTTCTCATAGTGAGCAACAAACTTCATAACAAAAATGAACTACCATATACATAAACCACCAAAATAACAATAAAACTAGCAATAATCTAAATATTGACCCAATATCATAAAACACAGGTGCATAAAAAATGATAAAACTTTATATTAAGTCTCATGTTTTTCTCACCTCTGCTGATCGCAATGGATTGAGACAATCTTGAACCCAGCAAGCATCTCCTAAAATACCCACCAAAGTAAAGAGAAGGAACAGTCAGAATTTTAACCAAAACAAAAGGAAATAAACAGAACATGCTTTATTCTTACACACATTGAAAACAACAACAACAATGTGGATTATAGCTTGAAACAGTAGGATTAAATTGAAACATGTTCCTCCTCATTTATGGAACAGAGAATCATTTGAGTTGATGGTTAAGCCTTTTGCTGACTTAGTAGAGCTGGATTCTTTAACAGAGGCCTGCACTGAATTCATTGATGCTGTTCTCTTGATCAGATGCTTGGAATATGTTGATATCCCTAAAGTTTTAAAAATCTTTGTGGGGAAGAATCAATACAATGTTAATGTCTCAATCATGTCTGTTATGGGGGAATTTAGTGAAGGGGAAAGAAAAAAACAAAAAATTGATCAGATGGAGGAGAATGTTCAAAGCTCTTATAATGACAAGTGGTTTAAAGGAAGAAAAAATAGTGGAACTGATTCTTCTTCCCAAAAAGACTCAGTTACTAATTCTTGGACAGTGAGACAGGATTTGAGAAACACTCCTTGGGGATCTCCTGCCGCTAAGCTATGGATGGATGCCAAGAGCTTTTATCAAAGACAGAATTCTGAGTGGGAACCATGGATGGTTAATACTGATATAAATCCTGTAGTTGAACAAATCCCAGAAGAGAATGTGGTGGTAGAACATGAAGAAAAAATTACTCAGGAGATTAAATCTGATAGTAAAAATGTTGAGGAGAATTTTACTTTTCCTATTCTTGCTGAGGAGCCTACAGTGGTTTTAGAAGAGGTTGAAAATATTAATTTACATGAAGAGGATCAGGTCAAAACCACAGTGATTAATGATCAGGATATTAGTAAGTGGCTTTCTTTTCCTATCAGTAACAGTTCAGAAGATACAGAAAAAGTTTAGGAAAAAACAGAGGAGGATATCCTTTTGGTTCAACCATTGAATTCTCTGCCTCCTGAGGAGCCAGCTAATACAAATGTGACTTTTGTTAGGAGATGTTCCAGATTTGTTGACTTGGATCCCATGAATGCTGCAGACAGAGCCTCTGCAAGACTGGCAAGGAATGCTGAACATTCTTCCCAAGGAATCTCTGTTAAAGGTTCAGGTGATTCTTCTTCATCATCAAATTTGGGTTCTTCTTATGTTCCTATTCTATTTGATACTTGTTCTAACAAGCAATTACAGAAATTTGCTTCTCAATGTGCTATTATACTTGATCCTCAAGAGGATTTTGATCCTCTAAAAAAATTGAGGCAAATGGAACAGGAGAGAGCTACTTTAGAGTAGAATATTGGTTTGTTTTACCAGATTAGAGGTGTTTCTGATATATCATGTTGATAACATGGAATGTGAGAGGTTTGGGTTTAAGTCTTAAAAGGTTTGGTGTCAAAGATTTTTGTCTTTTGAATAAGGCTGAGATTATATGTTTACAAGAAACTAAATTGGAATGTATTACTGATAATATTTTAAATAGCTTGGGGGGCACTTTCTTTGACTGGGTTTGTTTACCCTCTATTGGTGCTTCTGGTGGTATCATGATTGGATGGAATTGCAATAAGTGGAAGAAAATTCAGGAATTTTCTGGGAAGTATGTTCTTTCAGTGGTTCTGCAGAATAATAAAAATGGTTTCATATGGACTGCTTCTTCAGTTTATGGACCTCATTGTAATAGTGAGAGGATATTATTCTGGCAAGAACTTAAAAATTTGAAAAATAATATTTCAGGTCCTTGGGTTGTTGTGGGGGATTTTAATCTTACTATCAATTCAGATGAAAGAAAAGGAAAGAGTATACATAGAAGAGAAATGGAATTTTTTAATGAAATGATTACTGATTTGGAACTTATTGACAGTCCCCTTCATGGGAGAAAATTCACATGGTCTAATAAAAGAAGTTCTCCTTCTATGGCCAGATTGGATAGAGTTTTTTTTAACTCTGAATGGGATGATGTGTTTCCTTTTTCTAGGCAACAAGGTTTATGCAGCCAATTGTCAGAGCATGCCCCTATAAGTTTTGAATGGGGGGATTATCAACAAAGCACTAAACTGTTTAGATTTGAAAAAATGTGGTTACAGTCTGAGGAGTTTAAAAAAGGAATTCCTTTATGGTGGAAATGTGCTCCTTCAAGTGGTTCTGCTGCAAAAAATTTTGTTGGCAAATTAAGATTCCTAAGGAAATGTATAAAGCAGTGGACTCATTCTAATTTTCATAGTGTTAAGAAAAAAAAAAGATTTATTTGATAAACTTCTAGAATGGGAGGTTCTAGAAGAATCTAGAGATTTAACAGATGATGAGCTGATTAATAAAAATGATATCACTTTTCAGTTGAATGAAATTTTGCTTCAAGAAGAACAAATGTGGAAACAAAGAGCAAAGACTCATTGGCTCAAAGAGGGGGATCATAATACAGCTTATTTTCATAAAATTGCTAATGGTAGGAAGAGATGTAACTTGATATCTTTAATTACAGTTAATAATGTGATTGTTAGTTCTGAAGATGGGATAGCTCAGGCTTTTTCCAATCATTATAATCAAGTGTTTGGGCAAACTGTCAGTCACAGATGTAACTTAGATTGGGAGAAGTTATTTCCCTTGGATGATTGGGGTCCAGATGAGATTGAACAACCCTTTTCTATGGAAGAAATACATAAAGCCATTTTTGATATGAATGGTGATAAGTCTCCTGGCCCTGATGGCTTTCCTGCTCTCTTTTATCAAGTTTTTTGGGATACTATCAAAGGAGATATTATGAGGATATTTGTAGAGTTTCATGAGGGTATATTAGAAATCAACAGATTTAATTATGCTCATATTGTCCTTATCCCAAAAAAGCAAGGGGCTAGCTCTATTAATGAGTACAGGCCCATCAGTTTGTTAAATGTGATTTATAAAGTGATTACTAAAGTCTTGACTAACAGACTGAATACTAAGTTGGATATGCTTGTTGACCCTTTACAATCTGGTTTTATTAAAGATAGATTTTTGCTTGATGGAGTTGTAGCAACTCAAGAAATTATCAATGATTGTTTCCAGAATAACAAAAAAGGAGGGATTTTATTAAAATTAGACTTTGAAAAAGCATATGATTTTTTAGACTGGAAATTTATTTTAGAAGTCCTGAAAGCAAAAAAATTTGGTATTAAGTGGATCAATTGGGTGACTTTATGTTTGAAAGATGGTTTATCTGCCATTAACATAAATGGTAAACCTGGTAATTGGATTATGTCTAAAAGGGGTGTTCGTCAAGGTGATCCTTTGTCACCTCTTCTATTTGTTTTGGCAGCTGATTCTTTTACTAAGATGTTGAAATTAGCTGTTGATGCTCAGCTAATTGAAGGGTTAGGTCCTGAAAATTTGAGTCCTAAAGTTTTTTGCTTACAATATGCTGATGATACCTTGATTTTTTGCAAAAATAAAAAAGAACATTTGATTGTGTTGAAGTTGATCTTATATTGCTTTGAACTAGCTTCAGGCTTAAAAATAAGTTTTAACAAAAGTGTTCTCATTGCTCTTGAAGAAAATGAGATTTTACAACAGAATTTGGCATGTATGATGAATTGTAAGTGTGGTGCTTTTCCCATTACCTATCTTGGAATTCCTTTAAGACCAGGAAAATTGAAAAGAGATGACTGGTTTCCTTTGATTGAGAAAATTGAGAAAAGATTAGCTATTTGGAAAGGTAGATCTTTATCTAGGGGAGGAAGACTGGTTTTGATTAATTCAGTTCTCTCTTCTATGCCAATTTTCTGGCTGTCTTTTTTTTTTATTCCCAGTATGGGTTATTGAAAAGATTGATTTTATGAGGAGAATATTTTTATGGACTGGATCTTTAGAGCACAAAGGGTGCACTAATCTTGTTAAATGGGAAGAGATTTGTAGACCAAAACATTGTGGTGGTCTGGGGATTAAAAATTTAAAAGTGATGAATAAAGCTCTTTTAGGAAAATGGCTTTGGAAATGGTTCAATGGCAATCATGAGCTTTGGAAACAAATCAGTTACCATAAATTTTTTGAAAGAAAATCATGGACTGAATATCTTCATTCGGGTAAAATACATCTATCTTGGTTTTGGAAAGGCTTTTGGACTAATATTGACAGCTTTCTTTGCAGTACTCAAGTGGATGTGGGAAATGGAAAATTTACCCTTTTTTGGACTAATATTGACAGCTTTCTTTGCAGTACTCAAGTGGATGTGGGAAATGGAAAATTTACCCTTTTTTGGCTTGATAAATGGTTAGGTTCTTTGCAGTACTCAAGTGGATGTGGGAAATGGAAAATTTACCCTTTTTTGGCTTGATAAATGGTTAGGTTCTTTTACTCTTGCTTCTCTTTTCCCATCTTTATTTAAACTTTCTTCATCTCCTTATGCTACTGTTTGTAGCTTGAGAATCAAAGAAGATAATGTATGGAGATGGGTTCTTCAATTCAAAATTCAGTTGACTGGGGATCTTGTCTTTTAGTTTTTTAAACTGTTGGATATTCTTAATTTGAAAAGTTTATCAGATGGGGAAGATAAGAGAGAATGGTTATGGGAGAAAAAAAAATCATTTTCAGTTAGATCCTTTTATCATTTTCTTATTGATGGGGGTCTAAGATATGATTGTGCAAGGATATGGGAGCTTCCTATTCCCCTGAAAGTCAAATTTTTAGTTTGGCTGGCTATTAGGCAAAGTTTGAACACAAAAGATGTTTTGGAAAAAAAGGAAGTATATTTAGACAAAATATGTTGTTTATGCTCTAAGGTGTCTGAATGTCATAATCATATCTTTCTTTATTGTGAGTTTGTTCAAGCTATCTGGAAATTAATTCAAGATGATCTACAAATTGAAGATGATTTCAAGCTGGGGTCTCTTGAAAATTTGTGGCTGAAATGGAACAGTAAATCTCTTGGGGACTCTAGACTGAAAAGAGATATTACCATCTGCTGTCTTGTTTGGTGTATTTGGCAAGAACACAATGATAGACTGTTTTCTAACAAGAAGAGGAATTATATTATGATTTTTCACAAAATCATGATTTTCTCAAATTTGTGGATAGGTATGAAAAAGGAGTCAGCCAGAACCACAAGATTGCAAGAAAGGAGGAAGAAGAAAATGGCTGATATGAGGCTTGATGCGGGACTCAAGACTGCTGCTGGAGCTGATGACAGAAGTTCTGGAGGGGTTATTCAGCTGGAATGATCCCTGTGGTTAAAATTTTTTGGGAGGACTGCTTTTTGATATCAAAACTTTCAGTAGTCTCTATGTGGTTCTTTTGTGTTTGTACAGTTAGTCTTGACTTACTTTCTAACTGGTGGCTAGAGCCTGGGATAGCTGTATCTCTGGTATGTAGCTATTTTTGAACAATGATACATATCCTAGGTTGGGGATATGTACATATTATGTAACAACCTTTTTTTGATATTTAGCTGGCTGGGATATCTTTATGGTATCCCATCCTTTCTCTCAAAAAAAAAAGCTTGAAACAGTAAAAAAAAAAGGCATCTTGATTTAATGCATCAGAAAAAGGAACAATCAGTCAAACAAATTAACCAGTGTGGGATTCCATATTTCCATAAAGGGATGATTGTGGTGGGTGAGCCGTGTGAGTCTATAAATAGAAAGGAACAGCCTGGAATCTGCCCATCAGAAGCCAAGCACAAAAGAAAGGTGGGTTTGTGATATAATTGCTGCCCAACTGTAAAAGATTGGAGATTCTTGATTCATTGAAGCAAAACTGACTTGTTTTTTAATGAGGGAAAACATCATGAGAGAGCCCTCTATACAGAATTACATAGGAAGAAAGATGTTTATATACACCCTTGCATCCATTTTAAAGCTGATGATTACACAGAGCTGTGCTGTTTGTACTGGCACAAATTCCATTCGTTCTGATACTTGTGCATTGGTAGCACTGATTTAAAATTCACAGTAAGAAATCTTCCCTCCTATATGATTTTCGATAGAGGACCATCTAGTGTTTTATTTTTATTTTTATTTTTCCCTGCGTCGGGTATAGGGGATGTTGGAGTTTTCAAGAACTGGGTCCAGAACAATATCTTGTTTTTGAACTATTTGAGGAGCAGAGGTTGGAGGTATAGTGTTTTGTATCAGGTTGACTGTCCAGTTAAACTGGAAATGGATGGGTCAGGATCACTTAGGAGTTGCAAAGGTGAAGTATAAATTAAAAAATAAACATAAAGCGTAAAGATGAAGAATAAATTTTATTAGATTATCATGCATGCAAGCGAGATATTCTGAGTCATACACCAATGTTTTATTTCTTCGTTTCTTTGCCCCAGACCTATTCTTCTGTAGTTAGTCATGCTCCCGAATTCAGCATATAAGAAGATACTTAATACCCAGTCACAATTTCTCTAACAGACCTAAGCCGAGCGATACAACAGTGATGCAACAATAACACGATAATCACATACAACTGTAATTATGTATTATGTTCAAAACCTACAAGTATACCTGCTTCTCCACACAGCTGTGAACATACAAACCAGGGAATGCAATGTCCTCCAAAGTGCCAGGTAGCCAAAATTAAAACCATATATACAAAGATCACACACTAGCAAAATCGGAAAATAAAGTATTTGACTACAAAATTAAAAGTATATATACAAAGATCACACACTAGCAAAATCTGAAAATAAAGTATTAACTACGAACCAGCACTCTTTAGCACTTGCTCACCAAAAACTAACAACATGTGAGACAAGTTTGTCCTTGAGTACAAGGCCACTTCCTACTACTTAAATGTGAAAATGAAACTAGAAAAGGCGAGTCATATATTGGATGAAACCTCCAATGTACTGGACAGTCCAAAACCACATAATGGTGACAAGTAATATGATATAGAGGTTCGTTGCTCAGAGAGGAGCATGTATTGAGTTCCTATTATGCATTAAGGCTCACAAGATCATATACATCAGCAGGTTCAACCATATAACAGGTCAAATTACTCAGGCACATGAAGCGAGCTATTATAAGAAAATCAGGAAAACATTCTCAAGAAATTCCCATCTCCTATTAAAGTGAAGAAAATGTGATAAAATTGTTGATGAGAACCATAAAACAGAATAGCTAAAGTTACATTATACAAATTGATCACGTTACACTTACATTGCTAAATACTCAAATCAGATAGTATCTTATATACACAAACAATGTATCATCTCAACAGAGCATTAAACTATTTACATGTGGTAGGGTTTCCTAGGGGTCGGTGCCCTATTCTCCAAGGATTGGAATCTTTGCTTCAGATGGAATACTTCAACCTGCAAATTTATATGAAGAACGAAATTAAAATGCCCACATTTATATTAACACTATTGAAAAAAACAAAAAAAAACTAAAAGGACAAGGAATGAAACAAGCAAAGCTATACCTGAAGCTGAAATGCTCTTGCTCTTTCTCCAGCAAGTACCCCTCTGGTAGAATGCAACTCCTGTATTGTCATATATTGTTACTTTAAAAAAGCAGATATTGAAACCTTTTGAGGAAATGGCATACTTTTTCTAGGGGTAAATTAACAAAACCCTCAAAGTTTGCCCCATTTGGAGATAACCCCAAAAAATGCTGGGAAATGATACTTGATCACCAAATTTTTGCATTTATCTCATTTTTGGGGTAAGTGACATTTCCTTTTTTTTTGTGTGTATTAACAGAGTGGGCCAAACTTCTTGGAGGGTTTGGTGAAATTATAGTTTCCTAACAAAAGAAGGCATATTGAAGCACAGACTTGCACAAAGATCTCAAGATGGACCTCACGTTCTCGATGGTAACTAGTACATTTTCCTCA